ATATGTCAAGGTCAAGATCATTGGCGATTGGGGTCTTTTTGTACATAATTACCACACTTTTAGGCAAGATGGTCAAATAAATATTTATCAAATCTTTAGCAAAGGTTTAAGTAGAATCGCGAGGATCGAATGCCTGGGGTTGAGATGGAGTGTTGGTTGTCTTGTGCGTGACGAGCAAACGCCACCCATGCGTTGGGCATTGGAGAGAATAATATAATGTCACGCCGGACAAGACGGTGAAATTCGAGTCGTTAACGTCAAGACTTCCAAGTGGGTCACAAAACGCGCATTAACAAAAATATGTATGCTGCCTATTGAGGCCCAATTTTAAGTTTAAGATAGGAAATTATCAAATAATCCTGTTTAGTTTATGTTACCGAACGTTATGTGGTTTATCCATAATATGTCGTACCAAAGAGCATTGTTTTCTCATTATATATTTTTTTAAAAGCCCAGTCTTTCAAGACGGACAATATGTTAAAGCGAGTGTGCTGATTAGAATGTCGCGTGGTTGCGTACCGATCATGGACGACGCTATCAAGCGGAAAGTGGAGAGCGCAGATCGGGAAGAGTATCCGCAAGCATAACGATCGTGCGAGGAGTGTGCGAGAAAGGTGACGAGTTCTTTTGCCCCCATGTAAAAGATCTACCCGAAACGCGTTGGGTAAGAACAGTAGTTGATGTTAAAGCGTTTTGTGCTTCAAGCATTTCTATGTAGAGTTAAGACACTTTCACCAGTAGTATAAATAGCTGTAAATAAGTTTAATGAATGTAAATATGTTAAAATAAATTATAATAATTAGGTTACAATAAATAAAAAATAATAATAAGTCTTGCATTTTGCATTGTCTTGCAAACCAATGCGTTCGGAAATAAGTATACTGGGGGTTACACCTGTCTAAGGGCTTTTAGAAAATTCAAATAATTTCCAAAAAAGGTACCTTCTTAGTCAGAAACATCTGTTTTTACTGGCTGGCAATAACTTATATATTTTTATACATATATTAATTTTTCTAAAACTAAATCAATTTCTATCTTATCTTATTTCATAAGAAATATTTAAATTATTTTGTTTTCAGGAAATAAGGAGTATACTTGTCAACAAATTCTCCGAATTTTTGAAATGTTGTTTTATTTTTATCTGATAAGTTATCGTTAGCTGATTTATTTATTTACTTAAAGTATAAATCAACCTGTGTTGTAGCAGCGTACGTAGGCTGTACGATCATGAGTAATCTCCAGATATGAAAGATGCACCATAACCCTTGTACTGCGAGGAATAGAGGTTCACGTCTTCCATCCACTTCCATTATTAAAACGTATGGTGTAATGATTAAGTGTATCAGACAAGTTATTGTAATCACCAGCGCAACGACTCCGTAAGCAGCGTTTATGAGCAACACCGTATCACATAATGACGTATGTACTGTCATCAATTGGGATATGCTGTCCGAGAAACTTTTACCATCTAAAAAAAGATTTACTTAGATTTACTTTAATCATTTAAAAGATACACTTTAATTAAAACACTTCCCAAATAGCACAGGTAATTGTTATGAACTCAAAAAGGATTCATTTTTCAAAATTTTTTTTAAAATTCTAATTAGCGTAATCTGTTTAAAACTGAAAAGAATTTCTTTTTGATAGTTCAAACAGGATTCCATGGAAGTATCTTTTGACTCCTTATGGAATTAAATTAAAATTGTTCTGAAAAAAATTTTTTTTGTTTGTAATAAGTTCGAAAAAAATTCACATTTGGCGTGATAATAGGGTAAATTACTACAACGTGCGGTTGCGCAGTCTAGAATAATCTTACTTAGATTTCGAAGCAGCATCGCGGCATACTCTTCTATTTCCTTGCATGCCGTATCGAGCTCGCTAGGGGATGCTAACCTACTAGATAAAGAAGAAGACTTCTATCTTCCCTGGGTTTTTCGCCACTTCTGGTTAATAAAGTTTTTTATTGTTCATCGAGAAGTGAGTAAGAAAGTCACAGGTTTTTAAAGTAAAACATGTTTCGTCAATTCTTCTGAATATTTATTGCAAATACAACTTAACTTCATCACCGCGCGTAATAACACCGTTCAATAAAAAATTACTTTTTTTCGAGCACGATAAAAAGAATAATTATTTCTTATAGCTTATTGGACGCTGAATACAATCATGTTTACTACATTTCTCTATAACGTTATAATTTTGAAAAATTTTCAGTTAAAGTTGCAAAAAGGGCTATTAATAAGTGTATTTTGGCATTACACAGAACATAATGTCCGTTAGACGTTCATACAATCTTTATAGCTTTATATGCGATGCCTATCTTTACGTCGAAACCAGCTATAGATCTCTAATAGAGATACCGTATCCATAATAGATGTCTTCTACAAATCTATTATGGACGTCCATTAGATATTATGGATGTATAGACTTGTACATATAATATTTTTAAAAGATTAATATTCAAATTTCGTTAGCAACTTTAAATTATTATATAATTTTTAATCATTTTGTTTTAATTTACATAAATCAATTTTAAATAAAATCAAACATAAACTTTACATAAATGTAATTATTTTTAAAGCTTTCAATATAAAGATAAATGATAAATCTTGGTGTCAAGTGTCAAAACATATATATAACGTAGGGGAGACCGGGGCAAACTTGACACTAGGTTTTTTGCTAATTCAAACTTATCGTAGAAACTTCCCGGGAAAAAGGATTAGATCTGACCAGATCAAATAATATCTCAGCAGATCAAATTTTACCTGGTCAGATATGACTTTTCATGTCTGCGCAGATCTGGTCATATATGGTCACATATAATTATGTATAACTACATATGAGGTGTAATATGGTCTTTGACGGCTCAGATCGGACCATATCTGCTCAAATCGGACCATATTTGCTCAGATCAAACCATGTCTGTGGTTGAACTTTATCGAAACAGTCCGGATCTGACTGTATCTGTTTAGATATAATCATATCTATACTCGAATGCGATCCAAAATACATTACATCTGTGAATTTCATCGAAACAGTCCAGATCTGACTATATCTGTCCAGATATAAGTTGAACTGAGATTGTGTTTGATCGAAAACTGTTCAGGTCTGACAATATCTGGCTATGTTTAATTATAATAAATAAAATGTTCGATGATCGATATTCGTCTAATGTGATATTTAAATATATAAATATGAATTTATTTATATATACGTAGCAAATTAAAGATATTCAATTAAATATCTTTGATATAATTATATAAAAATATGTAACAAAAGGTTCATAAGATTATAAATCAATCAAAGAAAGAAGAAGCGTCGAGCCGTAACAAGGTGTTAGTGTTAAAAATTCTGTAATAATTCAAATAATAATAAACAAACGTTTTGGACCTTAATAGAAATCAGTGAAAATAATATGCTTAATTTCCTCGATGTCAAGGTGATGGTGAGAGACGGAAAATTCATCTTTGATTGGTACCACAAACCCACCTTTTCTGGGAGATACCTTAACTACCACTCACACCATCCAATCTCCCATAAACGGGGTGTTATTTTTGGACTTGTGAATAAGATTGTGTCAATTTCACATCCACAATTTCACATGAAAAACTTCAATTTAATTATTCAGGTGCTCCTAGAGAATGGTTACCCTTTCATCTTCTCTACCATAAAAAACAGACTGACACAGGTTTTTCTTTGCAAAAAGAGCGACGGAAATTCTTCATCAGAATCTTACAGAACCAAATACTTCACTGTTTCCTATGTCAAATCCACGTCAGAGAAATTTAAAAATATTGTCAAAAATCTAGACTTTTTGAGATGGCTTTCTCGGTCACACATCCTCTTAAAAGATTTATTAAAACAGGCAAAGACAATCTCGACAAACTGGCACACAGTAACATCGTGTATAAAATTCCTTGTAAAGATTGTGAGGTAACTTATATAGGCCAAACCAAAAGGTAATTGAAAACCAGAGTAAAGGAGCATAGATTAGACATTAATAAAAATTCTGGTTTCCCGTCGGTCATTTCTTGCCATCGGTTACAGACTCACCATGAGTTTGATTGGGACAATGTTGAGATACTGGACATGGAGACATCACTCCGTAAAAGATTAATTTTTGAGATGATACACATTAAACGACAGTCATTTCCGTTAAAAAAGCAAAGTGATACAGAATCCCTCTCAGTGGATTATCTTCCTGTTCTTAATTTGTTCCCACCTTAATAGTTCCGTGCTTTCTCTACCTTTCCTATTCTTCCCCCTTCCCTCCCCCTTTCTTTCCTTCCCTAGCTGTTTATATATACGAGTCGTTCTCTCGCCGCCGAGTATTTTGCGAGTTCTCTTTTAACTAGACACATCACTACCGTAATGCCGATCTTACAAAAATTGTTCACAGCGGAAAGAAACAAACTGAGATGTACGTATTTTATTAACTACTTATTGTTCTTTTTTAATTAACTTTACTAAATTATAACTGTTACAGTATGTCTACTCTGAACTCAACGTTTTCACCATTGCGTTAATTATAGTTGCGTCAATTTTTATTGTAATATTTGTAACGTCGTCTAACTTTTCCGATTTCGACTTAAGTTTTTTTACGACACTGAAGATTGTCCTATTAAGATCCGAAACGTTTGTTATTATTATTTGAATTAATACAGAATTTTTAACACTAACACCTTGTTACGGCTCGACGCTCATTTTTTCTTTGATTGATATATAAAAAAATCATGCGTGTGGTCGCCACGCGCGTTAGAAGTGAAACTTCTGAAAGCAACCCAGTAAGCAAGGAACATTAAATTAACGTTTAAAAATATTGACTTTATGTGTATTTTTTAAACGTTTTTTAATAATATTATACACATATTTAAAAAATATTATTTCGTAATATGATTTTTCTGAATGTTGTTAAAATATTTTAAAAACGTTACAGAAAATATTTTTCAAATGTTACTCTGACATTTATTTGAGATTAATGCAACAGTTCAAAATTCCTTGTAATTTGGACTTGGAAATAACGTTGGTAGTATATTAATTTTCTGTTGTTAGAATGTTATTGTTTTATATTGTGCTCAACGCTCATCGCGACAGCCATGATGCGTACATTTACGTACGATGCGTGAGTGCGTATACACACGTGTGGATCGAGCAGTGCGGAGTGCTCTTTATTTACAGTATATTTATATATAAGTAACTATTATATTCTAAAAGTTGTATATTAATAATAAGAACTCAATTAACCATATGTGCTATGAATAGTAGCTGATATGATGATCTATATAACCTATAATTTAGGTTAACTACAAATAACGTTCTTTGGGTATCGGTAGAAACTATATAGTGGAATTATTTGCTATTTTCTTGCAAATTACTGCCGATTATTTTCAGCTGTTTGAGTGCGTCGAGATCATGAGCAAACGCACGCTTGTTGCGACAGCCAATCAGAAGCAGTAATAGTTCTGGAGACTGTAGTCGCATTATCTTACATATACGTATGATGTGTGAGTGTGTCATATATACGTACGTTTGTGCTTGTGCGCTTGTGCGCTGTCGAGCGCTTTTAATTGTATACAACATTTTTATATGGGTAAGTAATTATTATATTCTAAATCTTGCATATTAATGATAAGAACCCTGCAATTATCTAATGTGCTGTAAATAGGTAGCTGGTGATTCAAGATCTATTTTTCGACCTATATAAGAGAGAAATTTGCAGAAGAAAAAAAATATACCAAAGTATTAATAAGGATCGAACATATTCTTGATGTACTCGGGCCGCGAGGCTGAGCAATATTCTAAGGAAAGTATTGTACAAGATACAAAGATTGGACAATATCTCATCCCTTTATCTTCCATTGACAATTTAAAGATATGCTAAAAACTTATCAAGAAGTTTTCATGCAAGTTGTAAGTAAAGCTGCTTATCACAATTATAATTAATTCTATAAACATTTACAAATAACATTCCCGGTTAGTATAATAGTTACATAATCGTAGTAGATATAAATTTACACAATAAAATCTGCAGACTTTGAAAATTTAAGAATTAAGAGAAAAGACTGTAAGAGATATCTCCTCTCCCTCCCTCTCTCTCTCCCTTTTTCTCCCTTTCTCTCCAAGAGTAGTAAATATAATATTTGCAATTTAGAGTCTGTTTATGTTCTAAACTCA